TCTAGGGTACATTATCATGAAATTAAAAAAAAAAAATCAATTAAAGTTGCTAACTCCACCCATCCAAAATACTAAATATACCTACCTTGCCCTTCAGTGGAATATTGTCTTTGTATTTGATCAAAGACGTCTGAATCCTAGATTTCATGACAAAAAACTAATCTGCTATGCTAATAGGCCACAAGACTCAGCATGGTATAGTTTCAAATAACATAAGCTGCCTTTTCTATAGAAGATTCAGTGTGCACATTAAGTGTAACACTTCCATATTTGAACTAAAACTATAGGCGTAAGTGAGCTTTATTTAGCGCCAGGGAGCTTGAAGAGACTAGAATAACAATATATAATTACTGATATATTATAGACAACTATAAGCCACTGTTACTCTCCAAGCAATCCTGTCAGTCTAATTAGCTGATAAGAGCAGCAGCTGCAAAAATGGGTATTTGATTTAGTAACCCTGTATTAACCATCTTTCCAAGGTATATTTAAATTTTAGAGGTTTTAGACTACTCATGAATGTCCTAAATACTTACTAGTATTTCCCTCTTTAATCAGTATTTATCTCTTCCTGTATCAAGGTCAGGCCACCTAAAAAATTACTTCAAAATTCTTACAGATATGCCAGCATACATTTAAAAAAAAAAAATTGTAAATAAATGAACATAACTACTCCAACTAAGAAATCAGTACACAAGTCTTTGAACTCTGGGTCCTAGTCTTTCTCTACTTGGATTTTTTTTTTTTTTTTTAATATGACAGAGCTAGAGGAGAATGCTTTTGCTTCCCCCTTTTGGTAAGTTGAAGAGAACTCTAGGAGGAGACTAAGCTGAAAGATTTGGAGTATCCACATGTCAGAAACACAGATCATTGTTCTCTCAGAGGTGAATACTATGGATCTGTTGTACAGAAGGACCTTCACGTAAGAGATTTTCAGACCCTGCTCATCACCTTGCTCTTACCCCTGCCCTAACAACCAAATATAGAAGCATTTCCCAGGTAATGCACAATATTAATATCCATCTATCCAGCAATAAATAATTCTTCTGGAAAATAATGTTAGAGTAGGTGCAAGACATGCAAAATGCCCTAAAAAATAAGAATTTGTACAGGCATTCTGGTCAACACAGTGGTGTAATCAAAAACACAGTATTTTGATACTTAAGCTTTATTGTAAAACTACGAGAAAAAAAATCTTATTCCTATGTTTCCTAAAAACTGATTAGGCAACAGCTTTAACTTATAATGTGATTTAAGTTTTTTTTAAAGTTTGAATCTTAACACATGACAGGAGGAAAACTTCTTAGTCTGCGGAAGTTCAGTTCTAATAATTGACAAGTGCAGCCAAGTAAGTTATTATTCTTGCAACAGACCAGCAGGAAAGATAGTGTTACACTCCTGCTACAATTTTATGCATCTGCAAATTATAGTAAACCAGAGCTGGCTTGTTTCAAACCGGGAACGGATTTTGTCCCCATGTTTTCAATATCAGAAGCATTCAAGTTATCACAGCATGAAATAACAGGTTTTTAATACTGCAGTGGATTTTATGCTGTGGAAATTGCTACATGATGCAGTGGTGACATGTTTATATAGAACACTCACAGTAAGGATTACACAAATCATAAATGTCAGCAAAATGGAAAGCATCTGTTTAGGCTGTGGCATGCTAAGGATCTCGACTGCCAGTTTGTGATATGGTACACAGCCCAGTTGAAGTCACAACAGCAAAACAGTGACAGATTTTCATGTCACCGCCTACTGCAGAAGTTGGGCAGCCTTCAGATGGTAGTTGCTGACATAAAAGCAAGCTCAGATCACCTGCATTCTGCATGGAAAGCAGGCAATCAGTCTGATATCAGATGTTTCAAGGAACAGTACTAGAGCCCTATTTTCAGTTTTTATATAGAAGCACAGTGAGGCTTGATTAATGATCAAGGGATGAAAAAGAATTTCCCCTGAACCACAGTAAAAAGACCCCAAAAAACCCAAACGCCCAGAAAGTACAGAAACTTAACTACTGAAGCAGTAATACATGCAAGAGCCATGTCTTTACAAAATCCATTTACAGCTTTTTGGACTAAACACCCTCCAAGAATAGTTAAAAGCCTACATAATGCTCCAGAGTATTAGCTTTGCTTTTGGACCACCAGTTTAGCTGACATGGAAAAGACTAGCTATATAAGACTTCACACATCTAGACACATTGTTCTATTTAAGTCAGCATTGACTTGCATCAAAAAAGTTGGCTTCAAATCAGCTGATTCAGATGATATCTTCTGAATTAAGTAGTATTACTTTCAACAGAAGTCCACCCACTATTGGTCAAGCCAATCTTTTCTGGGATTGTGGAGTGGAATACAAGGAAAAGAGCTCTGCCAACATCAAAAGAAAAGAGGAAAAGCAAAGCAGGACACAGGATCTACAGGAAGTGTATATATGAACAGATCCTCAATTAAATATAAAGGGTGTTGACTGCTTCTTAAAAACTTAAGCCAAATTCTCAAGTTCCACAGCTCAGATCTAGCTTTACCTTCTTGCAGTAATTTTTTTTTTAAATTTTAAAGTTACTTCACACTAACATTTAAGGATGAATGGAACTGTTATGGAAACCCAATCATAGCAGTACTATAAGTTAGGTTTCTCTTACTGTAAGAGACTCAGAACACACAGAGTGCTTTAAAAAGGTTCCTAAAACTGTTATAAATAAGTGCATGACTTAGGTTTGAAGGAAGAACAGCTGGAGAATTTAGGATCCTCCCATATTTTAACTCATGGTGATGTCATAATTTAGAGTTCTTGGAACTGTCAATTCGACATTTAAACCACATCAATAACAGTCATTAAATCTAGTGCACATCTCTGTTGGCTTAAGCACCAACTTAACTTTTATGAAGGGGAACATGCAGAGCTCTTAATTATAAGAAGTCACATGAGTTTTCTCAGAACCTTTCAGATTGCCTTAAAACATATTTTTAGAATTCAAAAGTGTTTCTAAACATACTATTTTGTGTGCACTGAAGTTTAAGAACTCTCTCTGCAAGCTTTACAATACATTGGAAAGAGACTGCTCTGCCATTAAGTATTTCACAGTCCAGATTTGAAGGGGCTCCTTTAGGGTTATGAAGCAGCATTTCACTTGCACGTTAACAGAGTTCAGTTTGGGAGGGCCTTCTAAGTTTTGAGGATGCAGCATTGTACAAAATTTTATTACGAACAGGTAAGACCAGTGAAAGAAGGTTTAAGTTGAAGTATATTTCAGATTGGTTAATCCTTTCATTGTTATGCAAGTGTATTTCATAACCTTATTTGAAGAATCAAAGAACAGTTTTAATACTAACAATGGCCTCAGTCTGACAGCTAATGCTAACCCAAGTGTGCATCATGCCCTCCTTCAACACTCCAATTTATGTAACGCCACACCACTGTGAGTTTAAAAATAAACCAAACAGGAAAACAAGATTTAAGTGAACAAAAAGAGCAAGATCACATAGTTTGTTCTCCTCGATTAGCATCTGCTAGTTATGGAGACGATGCCATCCCAGAAACCATATTAAAGATTTTCTTACTTCTAAAGGCAACCCTCAGAGAAAGCTATGAGGATAAATATGCAGGGTTCCTGAAAGTGTTCTTGGCTTGATTTCTTGAGAAATCTTTTTTGCCTTTTCTCCCAGCCTTCAAAAGCAACAATTTGCCTCCAAGGCAATTCAAACAACGTTTCCAGCAGGAGTTTTAAACTTTTTTTCCAGAAATGTGCAAGCTAGCTATTGTAACCATCATTAAAACAGCACCTTAAAGCTGCTAGTGTGCTGGCAGAAGAGTATGTGAAGAAAAGGCTGAGAAGCCATTCATTAACAGTAATAATCTTGAAGCAAATTCAGAGGTTATATTTGTAAAGGTTTTCATATCTAGAGCTACAGAAATGGGCACAAGACTTAGAACTCTAGATTCTGGCAGGATATAGCTCATTTAAAACTATTTGTTAGCAATCTTTAAATCATGATTGCTGTTAAACAGAACAGTCAGTTCAAAATACAAAACCCCCAAAGCAGCGGGCATGCAAATGAAAAGGAGAAACTGCAAGACTCAAGGAGTTAAGCAACAGCAGTTCATTTCCCAAAATTAACTGCCGAAAAGGGCAGCAGAAAGAAGTTTATAGTTACCCAGAAGTGTGCGTGGCAGTTGACCATCATGGTCCTCTCAATAAGTTCATCAGGACACTCCAGAAGATGGTGCCCGGAGACCACACCAGCATTGTTAACCAGGACAGACACCTCGCCAACCTCCTTGCGGACCCTCTCAGCTATGGAGTAGACATTCTCTCTTTTGCCCACATCACAGGTGTAGGTGTAAACCTGCAAGTTGCAATGGGGCAGCGCATCTTTCTCTCCATCACCAGCTACTAAAGAACACAGATAAGAGAACAAAAGGGGTGGGGGAGCAATAAAGTTCTTACTCACTTTTTGACATTCAAACAAGTAGTCAAACGTAAAGAGCAAATACAATCCCAAACCAGCAAAACTTCCATTTACTTCGGTGTCAGTGCAATACACAAGGACTCGTCTATTTACTACCGCTGTCAAAGCGCTTTAAGAAAAGCCGCAGGTTTTAAAGCCGCCGCTGGAGCGAGCCTAAGGCTGCGCGAAAAGGGTCTTCGCTCAGCGCTGCGGGCACGGGGCCGGCTCTGCCTGGCAGCGGCAGCCGCGGGGGTCCCACGCCCCACGGTCTCCGGCCCGGCCCGCTCTCACGGCCCGCCGCGGGCGAGGCGGCCCCGGGTCGGGCAGGTGAGCGGTGAGGGGCAGCGCCCGGAGCCCGCCCCGGCAGCGCGGCGCTTACCTCTGGGGGCAGCGGTGGCCGCCTCCTCGGCCATCTCCCGGTAGATGTGCCGTACCATGCCCGCCGTCTCCTCGTTGCTCTGCGTGTTGATGTCCCACAGCACCAGCAGTGCCCTGCGCCGGGCAAACTCCAGGGCGAAGAGGCGGCCCAGGCCGCTGCCCGCCCCGGTGATCAGGCACACCTGCCCCGCCACGCTCTTCTCCTTGGGCCGCACCAGCCACTTGGCCGCGGCCAGCACAAACGCCCACAGCACTCGGAAAGTCACCACGAAGAACTCCAGCAGGATGTTCATGCTGCCGGTGTGCGGGGGGACCCGCGGGGCCGGCGGCGCGGAGACTCCTCGCCGCCCGGCTCCCCCACCTGGGGCCGCCGCTGCCCGAGACCGCCCGCTGCGGGCGCCGAGCGAGGCTCTGCTCCCGGGGTCCCGCCGCCGAGCTCGCCTTCTCCGCCCTCGGCACCCCGCGCCCCGCCTCAGTCACACACGCCGAGGAAGGAGCCCGGACGCGACTCTGGCCGCCCGCTGCCACCGCCCCGTCCCGTCCCGCCCGCGGCCCCGCTGCTGGCAGTGCACATCTTGCTCGCTCGGCCCTCTATATAGGGCGGACCGGGGGGGGGGCCGAGTCCCGCCCCTGGGCCGGCTCGTCCCGCCCCGCATTGCCGGGACCCCCCGCCTCCGGGCTGGCCCGTCCCGCCCCGCATTCCCGGGACCCCCCGCCCCCGCCCCGCCCCGCCAAGAAGGGAGGTCCCCGCCGGGAACGGCAGTGGGAGCGGCTGGAGCTTCGCGCGGCTCGGGGCGGGAATCCCGGCGGTCCCCCCGCCCCCGGCATGGGACTACACGTTCCGGGTGCGCCGTGCCCGCCGCAGCGCCATCGTGGGGTGGCCGAGGGCGGCCGGGCTGCGGCAGGGCCGTGCAGCGCGGGCCGGGGGACCGCGAATGGGGGCTGAAGGTCCGTGCTCGGGGCAGCGGCGAGTGGCCAGGAGCCGCCGGGATCCCCGCAGGGTGCCCGGGACCCGCGGGCCTCGGGTTCCCCTGCTGAACAAAACCCCGATGGCTTCTCGGTCTGTCAGCCAGATATAGGGCCACTGGTATCTCACCAGCCACAGACTGAAATGGGAGCTCACGGGTGCCAGCACACGGAACGCATGTTTTTTTGCTGTGCGACAATAGCGGCCTCTCTCTATAGATGGGCACCCTGCGGCCCCACGGCACCCGAGCATCACGCTCCAGGGCATCTACCAGCTCCAGAGGACGAGGAGCAGAGCGTGCCCTTGCAATTTCCCACACGTGGACCAGCAAGACTCATCCCACGGTCTCTGCTCGCCTGCAGCCGCGTCCCTTTCGTCCTACGCTACCCTTTTGTTCCCTGGGCAGCTACCCGTTCTCAGAAAAGTTACTGGAGTTTTATATTTATGACCGCTGCCTCTCGGGTTTAGCAGAAATTCGAGTTCATAAATTTTGGAAAAATGTGCAGACAACCTCTTCCTTAGTAGATATTGCAGGTGTTTTAGTTCATATTTGCTGATCACCCCCTTCTATAATATTTCTAATGAGATCAAGGGATAGAAACGTCTGTATTAGCACAAAATACTACTATTGTAAAAAATCAACATCGATACAGCTGTAACTAGAATCCCGAGCATTCTCAATAAGATTCTCGGGTGTTAGTACCACCCGGCACCTCTGCGTGTGGTCAACAGGCAACAGATAAAACCAGGAAAGGAAACGCAGAGCTCGGCATTCCTTATCTCCAGCCCTGATGCCTACACTTCTGTTATACCGAACAGCTCTCTGCTGCTCAGAGTTCCACTAATTTCCCTTCTTCCCGTACATGTGTAATGATGTGCCGGCGCCTCCGCAGGTGATCTTAGGAGCACTTTAGGGTAGGATCAGAATAGGATCAGACCTACGAGCCACAGCCTTAAGCAGCCTTACAAGCCGCAGGGTTGTGCTGGGCAGCGCTGTTTCCCGAGCCGCTTCTCTTCTCCACCTGTGCAGTTTCTGTCCCTACGGCGAGCCCCAAAGACGCCCAGCCTAATGAAGGCACATCCCGGCACAAACGGAGCCCGCAGTTCCGATTTCCCCGCGCATCCCGGCGAACAATCCTGCCCGCGAGAGCCGAGCTCCAGCCGCAGGAACGGGAACATCCCCGGGACTCCGGGCTCTCCTGCGGGAAGCTCCGGGGCTGGGCAGGACCCGCCGCTCCCCCCTCCCTGCCGGGTCCGGGGGAGCGACATTTTCCCGCTCTCAGCCTCATGGCCGCCTCGGTACCGAGCGCGGGCGGCAGGTAGCGTCCCGGTGCCTTTAAGCACAGGGTTTAAACCTGGAATAGGGATAATCCTGCTTGATGCGAAACGCCTGGGGAGCCCCGCAACCGCACAGCTCGATCCCAGCCTCCTGCCAGGAAGGCCGGGTCTGGCGGCGGAGCGACTTCGGCCCCGCCTGGGGACACACCCAGTCCCAGGATACGGCCAGTCCCAGGACACAACCAATCCCAGGTCACGGCCAATCCCGGGACATGCCCTGCTCCAGCCTTACTGGGCGGAGACGGCTCCCGGACACTTTTAATTCAGGCATTCGTCGGCCACCCCATAGCCCACCCTGAGATCAGGCGCAATGGCGGACGTCCAAGCCCCGGGGTCCTAGCAGCTCGCAGGCCCCCGCCCGCGCGGGCGAATGGGCTAAGAGCTCGCCGCGCAGGCGCGTTCCCCTCTCTCTTCCGGTGCTGCGATGGCGGACAAGGAGTGAGTGCCGGCCCCTCCCGCCCCATCCACCGCCATCCACCCCCTCCACCGCTCCCCGGGCCGCACGGACACTGCTCCGCTACCCCCCGGGCCGCCGCGCCGCCGCCGGAGCCGGCAGCCGTGGGAGGGGAGGGCCGGCGGCGCGGCTGGGCCGGCGGGGTCTCCGGGCCGGGCGGGAGCGCGGTCAGGGCTGTTGGGGGGCGGGAGCAGGGAGGGATCGCGCCAGAGCGGGAGCTCGCCCGGGCGATTGTAGTCCTGTAAACTGTGCGCTGGCGAGTGTTGTTGCATCTGAGATTTTAAGATCTCTGGGATAAGAGGCAGGGGGCAGAAACTGATGCACAGAAAGTTCCACCTCAGCGTGGGGAAGAAGTTCTTTACTGCGTGGGTGACTGATCATTGCAACAGGTTGCCCAGAGATGTTGTGGAATGTCCCTCACTGGAGGCATGGAGAACTGTCTGGACATAATCCTGTGCAGCGTGCTCGGGGATGACCCTGCTTGAGCAGGGAGATTGGACCTCATGACCCCCTGTGGTCCCTTCCAACCCGACCTGTCCTGTGATTCTCTGAGCATCCAAACAACTTGAAAGTGCTATGAATTAAATTCAGAGGGCTGCCAAATTAGCTTGTCCTTTTCAAGCACCTGCTGAAATGTTTATTAGTCAGAAATTCTCTTTGAGCCAGTCTTTGTTTTATTACAAATTGTGCTACAGCAAAGTAAGGAAAAATTGCCACTGGGGGGTTCTCGGGTGTGCAGTCATCCATCCACATGGGCTGTGTGCAGCTCAGTAGTTGGTCTGTCAGGGTTCCCTGTGTGAGAGGGGAACTGTACAGGTTCTGAACCCAGGAAATCACCTAGTTCAGTCTCGAGAAAATGTCCTAGGATGCTACTCTGGGCCTGGGGACAGTGGGAACAAGGAAGTGTCCAGAGGCAGCAAGGCTTGTGCACACCTCACGTTGAGAGAGTCATCATTGATGTTTGTCATATGGAACAGTGTCCTTTGGGTTTCTTCATCTCAGCTAAAAGCCATGTTTTTTGTTTCTGTCTCCACTCAGAGCAAAGAAGGTGCCCTCTGTGCCCGAGAGCCTGCTGAAGAAGCGGCAGGCTTATGCGGCCATGAAAGCCAAGCGGCAGAAGAAGATTTTGGCTATAAAAAAGGTGAATATTCTTTGACCCTTTGGCTTAGATTGTTTATCTGTTCCAGTGGCAGCTGCTGCTACTGCTAATATGATCCAATATATGGTAATTAGGACCAGCATGTTGATATTTTTGTCAAGATTTGGACTAAAATATGCTTTTTTTGGTTGATAACAGACCAGTTCCAGGCAGTCAAGGGTCAAGCGTGCTGTTGTCTGTCACACTGAAGTTAGTCTTGTACGAGGCAGGAGGTTACAGTCTTTGTGAGGGTGAGCTTGATGCATGATCACAGAATCATGGAATGTTAAGGGGTTGGAAGGGACCTTAAAGATCATCTAGTCCCAACCTCCTGCCTTGGGCAAGGACACCTCCCTCTAGGCCAGGTTGCTCATAGCTCCATCCAGCCTGGCCTCGAACACTTTCAGGAATGGGGCATCCACAAACTCCTTGGGCAACCTGTTCCAGTGTCTTACCACTCTCACAGTAAAGAATTTCTTCCTGATATCTAACCTATATTTCCTCTCTTTCAGTTTGTACCCATTACTCCTTGTCCTGTCCCTACAGTTTCTGAATGAAGGGTCAGGAATGATGACAGTGTTCAAGGCAAAGCATACATACATACTGCTTATGTAACAGCCTGCCAGGCTCTTAAAGCATCAGTGAGGGCTGTTCTGAGCTGTGTGTTACTTTATCTGTGTCATTTGTGGGAAGTTCTAAAACGTGGCACGTTATTTGAAGTTGATTTTTATGTGTTTTAAAGCTCTGTGTAACCCTCTGCAATTCCCAATTTCCTGCAGTACCGTAAGGCCCAAAGAAAACTCATCTATGCCAAAGCCCAGGCTTACCACAAGGAGTACAGGCACATGTACCGGCAGGAGATCCGCATGGCCAGGATGGCCCGGAAAGCTGGAAACTACTATGTCCCAGCCGAGCCCAAACTGGCATTTGTGATCAGAATAAGAGGGTAAGGCTGAGCACGGGTGTAAGCAGTTTTATGTTCAAAAGCACTGGAGTTGACTTTCCTGTTACCTCTGTGTTTTGAGGGCCTAAATATGTAAATAAGATCAAGCCTTCCACCAGTGGCTTAGGTAGTGGGTGGCATTATGTTGTAAATACACCAGAGGTGTATATCATTAAGTGCCAAATCATTTCGCTTGCTATCTGTTGTCTTTAGGAGTCCCTGATTTTTAAGAAGACAATGCTGTAAATACGTGCAGACAGTTGTTCTGTCTCACCTTGAGCTCAATAAAATTGCATGTCCCTATTCCCAGACATTCTAGTGAGCTTTTCTTCAAGTGTTTGTTTAATTATTTGGTAAGATGTTAAAGAAGACTAACAGAAGATGTGTTTGGAAGAATTATGTTCAGGAGAGTACCAGGCTAGTTCTAAATTGTTTCAGTGTAATACTTTCAATCATTTCATGGAAGGAGATATTTCAACTTAACACTGAAATATACAGAGGTAGTAAGTTAATTACTAAGCTTGCTTTGTGTCATTGGTGAAATAGTGATGCTTTTTAATGTGGGAACAATGCTATTGTGTTTTGGTCTTTTTTAAGCTGTTCCCTGGTGTTTCTGGGATGTTGATAACTGAGGACTTTCCCCTCTTTCTCCAGTACCAATGGTGTCAGCCCCAAGGTCCGCAAAGTGTTGCAGCTTCTTCGCCTGCGCCAGATTTTTAATGGCACATTTGTAAA